GTCCAATACTGTGGGCGACCATGCTTGGTGTTCATGAAACAAACGTGTAGGACAACTGCTTAGCTGTAGTTGTGCAAAAGGCACAAGTAATAAAGTTGGGCCAGTTGCATGCGTTTAGCATAAAAGCAAAGGTCCTTTTCTGCCCCTGAACCAGTGATACAGAGCAAAGGGCCTCACACGCATTCCAGCCCCATCGCCCATTCGCCCGCCCTAGCCCCACTTGTGGGCTTGGTAGAATGGGAACCACTGCAAAAGTGAAACCAACATAATGCTTGGCTTCAGAATTGAGGATTTCAGATCATGCATATCCTTTTTCCAGTAGTGGTCCTCGACGACTTGTGTTAATAGCAATGAGTGACCCAATTTCTTTTTGCCTTTTATTACAGCTCTGGCAGAAGCTTCAGTAATCGTGAGGGATCACGCCCCGCTGACCAACCTCTTCATGTGCACCTGGTTCAACGAGGTGGTCAGGTTCACGTCCCGGGATCAGCTGAGCTTTCCCTACGTGCTGAGGCGCCTGAGGCCGCCCGGCGTGCACCTGTTCCCGGTCTGCCCGCGCAAGGACCTGGTGAACAGCTTGGGGCACAGGCGCAAGGTGAAGCCGCTCGTCAAGGAGACGACGTGAGCCCATTCTGGAATTTGGGCCCTTTTGGGTCTCGTCTGGGCTTAAGATCAGCCTGCCTGACTTGCAGTAGCGTTCTTTCTTTCTTCCAGTTCATCAGAACCAAACCGTCGTCGTGTAGGAGGATCCTGACGTAGTGAAATTACAGCCAGAGAGTAGTCACCGAAGGAGTGCAACGTACTAGAGGGTAGGGTTAGCCTGGTAGGGAAGGATGTACTAGCTGACGACAAGGTGTTGTCGACGTTGCTGCAGGCGAAGATGGCCTGTGCAGCTGTGGTTACCGTTCGTCCTCGTGAAAATGGAAGAATTCTTCTCCCAGGTTAAGGCCGTCAATCCTGATGCTTGCAGAGGATGAGAGCATAGCATGTTCTTCGCTCAGATAAGATAATTGAGCCGTACTGTAATCATAAAGAACAGATAACTGAGCTGCCGGGGAATGTGATTGAGGGCCACTTTGGATGCCAAAATATTTGGCAAAATGTTACTGTAGCGTTTTCGTTGTTATTTGATAACTAGTGTCTAATCATAGTCTAATTAGGTTTAAAATATTCGTCTCGTGGATTTCGTCTAAACTATGTAATTAGTTTTATTTTTTATTTATATTTAATGTGCATGTGTCAAAGATTCGATGTGACGGAAAATTTTAAAAAATTTGGCATTTTGAGAATGATCGATTCTCTCGTTCTCAGGGCTCACTTGAATGTGCATTTGGAGTCGGAGCAATAATTTGGCGCGTACAAACACGTACCTACTCGGAGTGCACAAGGCCTGTCTTGCCCGACACAAGTAAAAGCGAACAAAAGGGTACTGTACGTGCATGCCATGCCACTGCGCTCGTAGGCTCGTGGCCGTGTGCGTGTCCTATGCCGACGCCGTCAGCCCGTGAAACCGAGGGCTGCCTCGCCTCGGCGTGCGCGACGGCGGCCGCAGAGCGGAGATGCATGGGCGTGCATTCATTCCGACTCCCACAGGCATTAACCCGCGCTCGGCCTGGAGGGAGGCGCCAAGGAGACAGTGGGTAGCCATGAATGCCCTGTGTGGGAAGGCTGAAACCACTGCAGGGATAGATAGGGGTTCTTGCGGTGCAGACATTTTTGTTTTGTTGCGGAGCGGGGGCAACGAGCGACACTTCTCGTCAGCTGCCGGCGCGCAGAGAGTGCCGGGAAATGTTGCTCGTCGTCATGCACAGGGAGGAGGAAACTCGGGGAAAGGATGGGGACGTGAGGTGTCGTTAGGGGGGGATCGCTATCGTCGCGAGCTCGGGGGACCAGGACGCACGTGAATGAATATTACTCCATCACGGAACTGATTGCACGACAGCACGAGGACGACTCCGTTCATTGACTTCGCTAGTCTCAAGTCTGATTGCGAGCTGCAGCAGTGGTTAGTGGGTTTGACATAGTGTCGATCTACTTTCTACTAGTAGCATGATACTAGTATCGCTAGGCAGCCGGCTCTAGGGAGGAGCCGCGCAGGCACACGTTCGTAGCCGCCCGTAACCAATGCCCACGGAACGCCCCGTCTCTCCGGCGCAAAGTCGGCTGGAACCCGGGGCCCGGGGCCGTCGTATCCCCCCTTTCGCTTTGCCCTCACTCATCTGCTAGCTTTAGACGCACTCCAGCAGTACGTGGAGATATCTCAGTATCAGCAGTAGAATCTTGACGGGGAGGCCTTTCGTTTTACGCTTCCTTTTTGGCCTTTTCTCACCTGGACTTTTTGTTTCTGCCTTTCATCTCTTCCCTCAACGCTTCTCCTACTTTCATGGCTGACACCAACCCCGTGCTAAAGAACACCTAGCCGCACGTAGGCCCTGTTGATTTTCACGGGAACAGAGACTGGAGACTAAATTTTAATTCTTTTTAATCTCTTTTAACTAAACAGGAGGGACTAAAATAGTGACTAGAGACTAAAATATAGAAGTCTTTTGGGGTGAGGTTTATTAGGACTTACATGGCTAAATTAACACCCCATGCTCCTCTCCGATCCCCACCCATTAGTGTGAGGGTATTTTAGTATTTGTTCAGTAGCTTTAATGTCCTTTAGTCTCTTCTAGTCCATTCAAACAAACACCGTAAATGACTATTATTTAGTTCATGTTTTAGTCTCTGGTCCTGGATTAGAGAAACAAGCAGGCCCGTAACAGTAGCACTCGACGGTTACCGGGAGGCGCGACACGTGAACGTGATTCCCGGTCGGTGCGGGAGAGATGTTCTGTTCCTGCTGTTCTGAATTCTTAGGGCGTCCCCAACAAGAGAACGAATCGACTGGCGATTTAGAAACAGGAAACTCTAAAAAAAAATAGAGAAGTTGAGAGGATAGATACGCAGGTTGTCACAGCTGAGAGAGGGAACTTTTTGGACTCCGTGCGAGATAGGCGACTGTGCGAGCGCTAGCGAGTTCGTCTCTCTCCTCAACGACCAATAGCATTTCACCGGAGCTGGCGATTTGAACGCCGTTGGGGACGCCCTTGCAGAGGTAGTAGTACTGGTACTAGTATCACTGGTTGACTACTATACGTACAATTAGTTTTATAATTAATCCACTTTTTAACACTTTATATATATATTAAATATTCAATGTGATAGAGACTAAATTTTAGTAGGAACCAAACGTCCCCTTACTGAAGAAGTGAAAGCTTTTGGTCGCTTTAAGATTGTTAAAGCAAGCGGTGCTTGTGTTGTGTTGGTAATTGTGACGGGATTGGAGCTTTCCTGTCAACGCTGTGGTTTTCTGCGTCGAATGGATATTCTTCTCCTGCCTGGTGGCTGCCATGTCGTTTCTGTAGTTTTACCAGCTTCTCGTAATGTACTACTGGCAGCAGAGTAGGAGTGTAGTAAGATTGTTAGCTTAGGGCCTGTTTAGATCCCTTCCAGTTTGTAAAATGGACACTGTAGCACTTTCGTTTGTATTTGGCAAAAATTATCCAATTATGGACTATTTAGGCTTAAAAGATTCGTCTCGCCAATTACGGGCAAACTGTGCAATTAGTTATTCTTTTTATCTACATTTAATGCTCCATACATGTGCCGCAATATTCGATGTGACGGGGAATCTTTGGAAAATTTTGGATTTTGGGTGCGATCAAAACAGGGCCTTAGAGTTGAATGTTGAGCACCAAATCCGGCGAACTCCGTGATAGTATGATGGTTTCGTTGACCTGAACCGATCCCTTGTAGCACCTGCAAGGCTGCATGCATCTCAAGTCTGAGTGTCTGACAAGGCAATCATCAAAGAATTCAAGAATATTACAGTGGCAAGCAGGTGGATAATCCAGTAGTCAATACACTACTCCACTGCGCTCACGCTACACTGATGGGTGTGGTGAATGGTGATCAATCATCATCGCTCGTGGACCTGTGGGCTGTGGATGTATTGCTAGTTTGCTTGCTATGCTACGCCAAGCAGCAGCGCAAGCACATCGGATTCGCTTTTCTTTTGACCTCGCAATAAAAAGAACGCGAGCGCGGCAGGGGGCTCGCAGGCCCAGACGACGGGGCAGCAAAGCAAATCCAGAGCGGCCGGGACCTTGGGGTTGGCGACTTGGTGAGACCGGCAACAACATTGACGGATGGATAGATTTGATGCGAAGGATCGAACGGGACGCTGCCTGTCTCGGCGATCTCACCGGGCACCCGCACGGCACATGCGTCTTTCCCGGTCTCGAGGGGCGTGTTTGGTAACTGCACCGTGGCTGGCTTGGCCCGCAGGCCTGTCCCAGGCCAGCCATAGCCTGTCCCAAGACCACTTGGGCCTTTTTAGTTGCCAAACTTTGGAGGTGCAAAGTTAGCAAAATGTATTATAATGTTACTGTAGTATTTCGTTTATATTTGATAATAATTGTCCAACCATTGACTAATTAGGCTTAAAATGTTCGTCTCGCAAAGTACAGCCAAACTGTGCAATTAGTTTTTAATTTTGTCTACTTTTAGTATTTCATGCATGTACCGTAAGTTTGATATGACGAAAAATCTTTTTTTTACATAGTACCAAAGTTGAGAGTTTGGGAGGAACTAAGGCCTTGTTTAGATTGCAATTTTTTACAATCTGGACACTGTAGCACGTTTCGTTTGTATTTGACAAACTTTGTCCGATCATGGATTAACTAGGCTCAAAAGATTCATCTCGTGATTTACAACTAAACTGTGTAATTAGTTATTTTTTACCTACATTTAATATTTCATACCTGCGTCCAAAAATTAATATGATAAAAAGAGAGTGAAAAAACTTGAAATTCGGAGGTGATCTAAACAAGGCCTAACCAAAGCTCTTGTTTAGTTACATGTACCAAACAGACCTGGTCCAGCAGAGACCATAGATATGGTCACCTCTCGTCTGGAATTGGGTGACGTTACCTCCCCCTGTCTCTCTTGTTGGCATTTCATCGAGCAGTCGGTACGCGCCGCTCGTCGCCCTTCCTCTTCTTCCACTGCCCATCTCCGCGCCGGCGACGGCGCCCGCGCTGTCGCAGCCTCCACCTGACCTTGCGCCGCCGAGGCCGCCCACGCTCCACACAGCCCCGCGCCGTTGCTGCTCGCCGGGGCCAGCCTCTGCGCCGCGACCCGAGGCAGCAGTTGCCGTAGCCGACGCTGGCAACAGCAGCGGCCCCCGCGTACACACGGCCGAGGACGACGAGAGCGCGGCGGGCGGCCGCGAGCCGACGGGACAGCGCGGCGGCCTCGGCGCGCAACGCGGCGTTGGCGAGCAAGGCGAGGGCCAGCCCTCCGCGCGCGGCCTCTGCGCGCGCCGCCAGGTCGCGATTCCCGCGCTGCAGGAGCGCCGTGGCGTCCTGGAGCTCATCGAGGTGGCGCTGCTTCCGCGGAGGGACACTTGGGAGACCGCGGAGGGGCACTTGGCGGCGTCGGAGGCGCGGGAGGTGGCGGCGGCGAGCAGCGCCCAGGGGTCCCCCGCGAATTGAGCTGCCGTTCCGGACTCCAAGACTGGGCCAGGTGCACCAAACACGCGAGTTGCACCTGGCGGGCGCAGCCGGGCCGTCGGGAAGATCCATGCAGCGGTAGCGTTGCAGCCAGCGATGCCATGCAAAGGCAGCGTACGCACCGTATAGTCTTCTCCATGTGACGTTTGACATCGGGAATCAAGATTCCTGCCTCTATCACAGACTACCGAGGAGCTACTAGCGCCTAGCAGTATGTCTGTCTCCCAATCTGATTTTTTTAGTTCTGTCATAATAAAGGGCGATTTATAAAAGATGTGATTTTTAGTTTTGTCCTAAATTTATAAAAGAAGAGTTTCAATATTTAGGACATAAAATAAGTAGTACACTATAAAAATACATTACATTACACGGTAAATCTTATGGCACCTATGTGCTAGTGTCACAAATATTGATACTCCGTACTTTTTGTAATCTAAATTTGGTCATTTTTAAAAATAGTCTGACTGGTCGTTATGTTAAAATTGGAACGAAGCTAGTAGCATCTTGCATTCTTGCTGTGCAAAACGTCATTTCCTTTTCCTGCCTCATCCTACGCTAATACAACGTCATTATGTTAAAATATGGCTGTAGATGCTTTGCTAATTTGAAAGTACTCCCACTCGTATAGGGGCATCCTCACAAGTCACCGACATGTGGCCCTTGGAGCAGCAGGAACGTGACTGGTTTGGCTGAACTCTGAAGGTCAGCTGCCGGAGATGTACATGTACTAGTAGAACAGTAACATGAATGCGCACTCGGCAAGAGTTTTGGTGCGGTGCGACGTGCGCGATCAATCATGTGCAGCGCCGGCCGCCGGGGGTGATCAATCAATGATGGATTGACGTGGGGGAGCCCTGTGGTGGCCTGTGAAAAGATTGGGGGGCACAAACCTACTGTCCGCCGTCCGGAGAGGGCACACCGGACACCGCATATTGTCGGCTTTGTTTGGTTCGTCGCCAAAAGTTTAGTACACCCTATCCATCGATCGTTGGACAATGCATGAGTATTAAATATAGATTTTAAAAAATAATTAATTATACAGATTATGACTACCTTGCGAGACGAATCTTTTAAACCTAGTTAGTTCATAATTTGACACTAAAGTACTATAGTAACACATGTGTTAATGACGGTTCATTAGACTTAATAAATTCGCCTTACAGTTTACTGATGGATTCTATAATTTACTTTTTATTAGTATCCGAACACCCCGTACAACACACATATAACACTCGATACGCCCCGTTCGACTGGGAGCGGCTGGCTGGGCTGACCAGCCCTCTCATAGAAATACTGTTCACATGAATCAGCCAGCAGTATTTCTCTCTTACATAAATAAACCAGCAACGATACGAACCAGCCGATCAGGCTATAAACCAGGCCGGGCAGGCTGCTGACGTCCGATAAGCAGAAACGGAAGCCATGGAGCCATGGAGGCCAGCAGGCAGCACCGCAGCAGGCCTCCCAATGGCAGTAGCAGTGATAAAAGGGGGAGACAGGCAGTCGCCAATCGGCAGACTGCTGAAATTTGTCACGATGTACATTAAGTTCGCTTTGTCTTTATTATCTGGGAGTAGTACCAGTTGGTGCAGATACAAAGCGTGCCTGCGCATCCACACGTATAGACAAAGTCCTTTGTTTAGATTGAGGTTAGAAATCAGTATTTGGTACTATAGCATTTTTGTTTGTATTTGATAATTATTGTCTAATCATAGTCTAACTAGGCTCAAAAGATTCGTCTCGTAATTTACGATCAAACTGTGTAATTAGTTATTTTTTTATCTATATTTAATACTCCATACATGTGTCCAAAGATTTGATGTTATGGAGAGAGAGTGAAAAAACTTGCAATCTAAACAAGGCCAAACATGTATTTCGCAGGAATCAATAAAATAAATTAGTTATAACAAAAATGAACACATGAACTTATTTCCAAGGCTTGCGAAAGGACCTCTAACCTAGGACAGTTCGACAGTAGTTTCTACGGCATAGCACACTGCACCGGAAAATCATCATTCGCACTGGAAGATTTTCTCCTAATGTCCAGATAAAAAAATTAACCAATCATTCACCATGTTGCTCTCTCACCTCTCCGGATCCCTTGCGCACAAACCATGCACCTATGCCAGCAGAATAGCTCCGCGACGCTCTAGCTTTGCTGGAACACACGTACGAACACTGGTCTACAGCATGGAGTGCACATCAAGAAGCCGCCGGCTCTCGCGTGCTGCCTCCTCCTGGTGTGCGTAGTCCTACTAGTGCCGGCGACTGCCACGCCTCACCGGACACTGCAGACGTGCCCGCTCAAGTACACGAACGAGATCTCCGCACGCGCCCTGCAGTGGGTGCTGCAGTTCAAGGGCAACTGCATGGCTGCCGCGCCCGCCGCCGGCGTCAACGTCTTCCCTCGGCAGTGCGGACGCCACCTGGCTACCCAGCGACGTGGTCGCCGCGTGGACCGAGGAGAAGCACTACGGCTATGCCTCCAACTCCTGCTCCACCTACAAGGCATGCGGGCGCTAGGGAAGACCAGCATGCTAGATGATCTCGGCTAATTGGGTCCTTATCCGCGCTCTGATCGGAGACGCCCAACCCTACATGGTTGGTGGGTCCTCGTCACACTGCGCTATCAAAGAAAGGTGGGGGTCGGCGGCTCATATCACGAAGTTCACCTGAGCTACAGTCGTCCCACCGACACAACCCTAATCCAATCTAAGAGAGGGTGCGCAGCCAGTGATAGGAAGCACCGCCACCGGCCAACGCCGCCACTGCACCGCCGCCCTTCGACAAAGCGCCTCCATCGAGTCTTCACCGAGCGCCGCCATAGCCAGCCCGTCTTCCTCGAAGGCGGCCGATGGTTTGCACTTCTTCCACCCCTCTCCCTCTCACTCTATCTATTGATCCCATACCAGTAGATGTTCTAGGATTCATTGTTTATTCCAAAAGCAAGTAAACATGCTAGACATATGGCTAACGATCTTGTGTTATGTCTATCAATGGTATCAGTCGCCTAGCTAGATGTAGATCTAGCCTATCGGAACCATCTATCTAGATGTAGATCATGTCAGGGCTAAGAAACAGATTAGATTCGTTCGGATCTGAGAAGAGAAGTGGGTCACCGAACGTTAACCCTAATTGATGAAGGAAAGTAGTAAAAACGGGGTCCCGGCTTCAAGAGAACTCGAACCGAGCCCTAACCCATGAAGAAACCGCTCGGGAAAGATGAACAGTAAAGAAACCCTAACCCTAATCTCGATCCTAACCCCATTCCCAACCCTAAATGGAATAGATCTGCGAAGAAAAGAAAAAAATCCAATCAGAGAAGAAAAGGGGAAGGAGAAGAGGCCTACTTCGGCGCTGCACCGCGCTGTGGCCTCGTCGGCGCGCGAGAAGAAGGGTCGAGCCACCACTGCACGTTGAGCGGGCGCGTGCTCTGGCCAAGGGCGCCGCGGCGAGGCCACTTGACGGCGGCGCGCTCACCCGCTGGGGAGCGCGCGCCGACGACGGCGCCGTCATCGCCTCACCTCACTCGGTGTCGTCACGGGGCCGAGAGAGGAGAAGAGAATGGCGCTAGGGTTTGAGGGGCGCGCGGCCGGCCGAGGGTTTTGATCTCGCGAAGACGACGCCTAGCCGTCAGATTTGGATGAACGGTTGACAGCGAACGGGCCAACATTCGACTCAGGCGCGCAAGCGCGGCGGGCGGCTTTGTCGGCCCAGGCCCAGGTTGCGGCCTAGGCGCGGGGGAGGTGCCGCGAGCGCGTGAGGACGAGCTGCTGCTGCAGGCCGAGCTACGCATTGTTGCTGCTGGGCCGTTTACTGCTGCTGCAGGCCGGGCCAAAATGAACAGCAAGAAATGATTTGAAGTTTATTTAATTTTCAGAAGCAGATTTGAATGAATTTTGATGATTTTCGAAGGTTTAAAATTTCTGATAAAATTACACCAATGTGTTACTTTTTTTTCAAAAAGTAGATATGAATAAGAAAATGCTTCTGAAAAGTAGATAATTATTATTTATTCATGTTTCCGCTGTAATATTAAAGTTTATAATCTTCTAATTAAATTCGAACCAACGGGAGAATTTAATTTCAAGAGTAGTTAATTTTAATCAGTAAATTATAATATTGTTATTTTTCTGACCAACATTGATAATAGCAATATAATAATGTTTAATCATAAGTTTTTCATGCATTAATTCTATTTTTGCCCAACGGTGATGTAGAATTAGTGTATAAGAACATTGTATGTTTTAATTTTGACCAACGTTGAATTAAAGCATACAATTATAATGTCATATTTCTCACTATCTCTGACGGTGGTTTTTTAGGACTGAACCCAATGATATTCATCTCGCACATACCATCTCTTGAAGGGGCAACTATAGGGTATGGCGAGATAAGTATGAGCTAGCACTTGCACTGTCTGAAAATGACCTAGCGCTTACCTCCCCGTGTGCTACTGAGCCAGTGGAACCGATGAGGGAAGAAAATGAGTTTGATGCTGATTTCACTGCTCGACAGCGAGATCATGCAAAAGTACAGATGAAGTATGATCTCGAATGCAAGAAATAGAACATTTCAACCCGCAAGTGCTTGATGGTGGCTAAGTCCACAATTTCAGATGCTATACTATCCTAGACTGTGACACCGCCATGGAGTATCTTAAGAAGGTGGAGAGTCAGTTCACTAGCTCTTCAAAGGCTTATGCCAGTACATTGATCAAGAAATTGCTCAATGAAAAATATACTGATGGCGGTATCAGAGAGCACATATTGAAGATGAGCAACACGGCTTCGAAACTGAAGCCAATTGATTTGGGGTCCAAAGACAAGTTCCTGAGTCATTTGGTTTTTGTTTCCTTGCCAAAGGAATATGAAACATTTGTTGTTAACTACAACACGCAGCCCGACAAGTGGGACGTAGATAAGCTCATCGCAATGTGTGTTCAAGAAGAAGAGAGGCTGAAATCCTTACAGGGTGACTCTGCTAACCTTGTGAAGGACAAGAAAAAAAACTTCAATAAGAATGCCAAGCCTCAAGGAAAGCCCCTCAGACTGAGCATCATCAGAAGAACA